GGCGAGCTTCGTCCCGAGTCAAATCATCCCCCGCTCCAGCGAGCTAAGATCGCGGAGCACGGAGTCCGGGCGAGCTTCGTCCCGATTCAAATCATCCCCCGCTCCAGCGAGCTAAGGTCGCGGAGCACGGAGTCTGGGCGAGCTTCGTCCCGAGTCAAATCATCCCCCGCTCCAGCGAGCTAAGATCGCGGAGCACGGAGTCTGGGCGAGCTTCGTCTCCAGCCAAACCATCACCCCGCTCCAGGCCACCGGGTCAAGTACGGCCGGCAGCGGCTCCAGCAGGATGACATCCTCCTGCGCATCACGATATCACAAAACATGCCTGGATGACGCTGCGGAGCACATTGCTTGTCCGGGCGCCTCACCCCCTTAGTCTTCTCCTCGCGGCGTTACGCAATGGTCAAGGTCGGTCAACTCCAGGCAGCATCCGTCGGCTCTAAATAGATTGACACTGTGCGTGCGCGCGTGCGTGCGTGCATGTATGTGTGTGTGTGTGTGTGTGTGTGTGCACAGAAGGGGGAGGGACAGTGTAGTGGCAAACGCGTTTGTTTTGCGCGCTTTAACCACCGCGCGCCTGGCCTTAAATCAGAGGTACGAGGTTCGACTCCCCGCAGTACCAGACCTTCATTCCACGGTGAGAGGCAGGCGGCAGCATATAGCCCCCGAAGCTGAGTGCGTCGTAAAGCCCCAATGACGACGTCGACACAGGTGTGCAATACATGTCGACGGCTTATATCTCGTGCATCACGGAGGTCACATTAAGAAAATTGCCAGCGCTGATCCACGGCGTTCTTCGTCAGGGGTGTTGTTGTTGGCCACATTGTTTACTAAGAGGTGTCATCTTCTCCGAAATGTCATTTCCACGAAAAGAGGTCATATGGTTCAGGCTGATCCATTTGCAAACAAAATATCAACGAGCAGTAGAAATGCATTTAGGCTACCCCATATAACACTTGTTCAGTAAGTCCAGTCGTTTTAACGACTATCATCTTAAAAAAGTGGACGCACCTAATCGCGTGCAAGCCACCATGCCAAGCATGCAGCTATCTGCAGGTAAAACGTCTCTAGAGGCTGGCAAAAGGACAACGCCACCTCCTCATTCTGTTGCCGAACACGTAAGACGATGTGGAGAAGCCACAGGGTTCCCTCCGCCAACTGGATGTAACACTTCCTCACGCGTGGCGACGGAGCTTCCGGTTATCACCGGGCGCCAGTTCAATCATGAATCATGTCAGTCAAATCCTGTTCAATCAAAACCATGTTCAATCAAACTCAATCCTGCCTGGAACCCGAATCAAATTGCAGCGGTTCCGTTTTTCATGGCCAAACGAGCGTGACAGCGTCGCGAACAGGATCCAACGAGACGTCACAGCTGACTGTCTCCGGCCCGGAGCGCGCAAATAGCAGCCTTCTGCGAAACATGGTCATCGACTGACGCCGTCAATGGCACGGCGGCTGGCGCAGATCCGCGTGGCCGACACACTTAAAGCGACAGGCTGAACGACACGTGGACGAGGCCAGGCCCTGATAGATCTGTTATTAGTTCGCGGCTGTTCTGAGAGGTCACGATGAGTAACATGAAGCCACGCGGTAGGTGTTGCGCTGAGTACGCTTTTCGCATCAGCTCCTCGCGCACGCTGCTTTAACGCGATAGACAGTGAACATCCTTCCCTCGATTAAACTAGCAGCACGTCTTGTCCCGTGCTGTCTACCAGAGTTGACCTGCATGACCGCGCCTGACCTCGATTCGGACCCACCCCAGTCTCCGATGCCGCCTGCGTGACGCTAAACACCCCCCTGGAGCCGGCGCTTTGGCCCCAGGCCAGGCCAAGCCAGGCCAGGCCAGGCACCCGCCCGGCCCCAGCCAGCAGTGAGCCGGGGGCCGTCGGAACAAAGCCCATCGCCTTTCCGCGCGCCAACTACTTCATGGAAGCGCGCAAATTACGGCCGCGCGCCAGTGGATTGCTTCGTCGAACCGCAGCTGTCAATGCCTAATGAACGAGCCGGCGGTCACCAGCCGTCGGCCAATTGGCGCCCGCGGCCAGCCGAGGGCAACCAATGAGCGCCCGGAGCGCGGCGCGTCGACCAATCGGGAGCGGCGACCGGGCGATGACCCGGGCAGTGACACGCAGGCGGACGCTCGGTGGCGGAGCGGCGCTAACTGCTGCAAGGCGAGGCACGCGCGCCAGACACCGCCGTTTGAATGTAATTGGTAGGCGTGGGAAGGGGGGATGGTCGGGAACGGTGGACGGTTGGAGACGATGTCCTTGACCACGACACAGGGAGAGTTGACGGACCATGGGAGGAATAGGAAGCGGGTCGGGGTCAGTAATACCACGACTCTGCTACGCTGAAAGACTGCAATGCTTCGTATGGAGACTTGCAAAGAGCACAATGAAAACGCCGTGACGAACTGAAACTCGACACCACTCCTACACCAGCTACATTTGATTCCGCATCAACAATGGATGTCACCACCGCGGGTACCGCCGGTGCTGCCGCTCATTTCTGCGCCGCCATTCACTTCAGGGATCTCGCGAAATGTCGAAGCGCATTTATGTCCATCGCAGCGGTGCACCCCGTTGAGAGCATAATCGCGCCAGCATCATGCCACCGATCACGGGCTGCCGACACGATATGCCTTCGGGGCGCTGATCGATCACACCACGTCCACACTTATATCATCCAGCGGCAATGCCTGGCTGACGACAAGCTTGTGCCCCTGGCGTGAAAAGAATCGAGGACGAAAGGGGGAAATCAATCGTCGCATCGAAACAACACTAAATGCAAACGCCGCACCCCAACTATCCATCCGCGTGCTGGAACGCCAGGGCCGTCACGACGACGCGCCGTTCCACCATTCATGCCTCTGGGACTGCGCACCTGCCGTGCACGACTCTCTCCGTGTCTGATGAGCTGTCCGCTGACGGTGCGAGCCGGCGAGACGGCGCCAGCGAGACGGCGCCAGGGGCGAGCTCACGCCGCGGGGAGGCAGACTCCACGCGCCTCGGGCACGCACGGGCGCCTCGGTCGGCCCCGGACGGCCGCGGCCGCTCGCCGCCCACCGCTTCGAAGGCTCTCCGGGGACGCGACTGCCACGGCCGTTGGCTGTCCGGTGGACGCCCAGTCAGCCAGCGATGAGCGCCGCACGGGGACTGCGGCGTTCGGAAGGGGGGGGGGGGGGCATTCTGGTCTCGGAGTCCCTCCATGCCAATGTAGACGCCGCCACGCCTTGCTCAGCCCCAGCTTGAACCCCATCTCCCGCGTCTGAACAAGACGCAGTAGAACAAGACGTCTGTGAGCGGGGCGATTTCTAACCTATTTGGGGGACTTCATCCGTCACTCCCACTTGACCTCCAGTCCCCCAACTTTGGGAAAAAATTGGGCCAAATCGGTGGAGAAAACCGTTTGTTCGCATATATCGGGGATAGGTTGGGTCATTTTTTATTGCTCAGCCCAACTAATTTGGTGAAACTATGTCGCTGCCTGTGAGGGTTTTCTTCTGTAAACAAGCATGGCTGGAGTCGCGAAGTCATGCCACGACAACTACGGGGTGATGAGAACATAGTCATACAGGGTGATGAGAACACAGTCATACGGGGTGATGAGAACATAGTCATAAGGGGTGATGAGAACATAGTCATACGGGGTGATGAGAACACTTCTCGTTAGATCCAATCCCTTGGAGGCTGCCTGGATGTCGGCTGTAAGCATTTCCTGGAAGCTTAAAGCCAGTGCTCCAACACGGTTTCTTTGTTAGCATTTGACGAACTTAACCGGATATTTTCATCACGGCGAAGAGATTCGCCATTCAACAGT